TCATGAGGTTGCTCACAAACATGGTCCGCACATTGTGCTCGGCGGATTCGGCGAGGAAAGCTTGGCTCGATGCTTGTGAGGAGTCTGCTGTGGACTGGGTCCCGGAACGCGGTCGGACGCGTTCGTTTGGTGAGCGATCCGCCAACGACATGAAGTAGGTCGTCGTCTGTCGCCATTCTGGTCGCATCATCAGCATCGTCAAGGCCTCCAGCAGAACCGGCCGGTCAACGCCTGGGAGCTGCTGGCCCTGTCCGTCTAGCATGTCCAGCAAACCAGTCCACCACTTGTTCAGCACAATCACCCTCCGCTCGACGTCTTCCAGAATGAGTCCCTTGTTGGTGATGTGGTTCATATAGGTCCGCAAAAATGGCAACAAGGTTACACGCACGGAGTGCATGCGCTGGGCCATGGTTTTGGTGGCGAAGCTTCCACTCTCGGTGTCAAGCGACCTGAAGACCGACCAGATGGTGTCCTTGTTGACCGACATTTCGCTCATCAGAGACTCGTCCGTTGCTGTTGTTTGGGATTCGGCGAAGGAAGCTGGTTTCGATTCGGGCTTTTTGATTTTATTACTATTATTATTGTTGTTGTTGTTCTTGTTGTTGTTGTTGTTGCTTTTGCTGCTGCTGTTTTTGGTCTTCTTGGTGGGCTGACCGTTCTCAACAGCGGGTTTGGGCGGAGGCAAGCTCAGTGATGATGGGGGCAAAGCATTCGTATCGATCTCGTTGTTTGATCCCAGGGTGATGAGCATGCTTTTCGGTCGCTGCTTAATCTTTGTCAAGAAAGTGCTGGTTCTGTTCAGGGTGCGTGCAGGCTTTAAAGATTCGGCACTCTTTGAAGCGGCGGTCTCTGTGTCGACTAGCATAGATACTGGCCTCTTGCGGGTCGCGTCGACACCCTTGAGGTTCTCGTTACTCGGGGCCCTGCTTCGGGAAGGGCGAGAAGGCGGTGGAGCTGGAGGGTCTGGATTTCGCTTCGGGGACGGGGAACGGGATGTGGACATCCACGACTTCTTCGCAAAGGTAGCGAAACTCTCCGAGACCGTCCTGGGGCGTTCTGGCTCGACAGGTCGCGTCGGCGGTGTCGGTGCTACGGGAGCGGCAGACGTCGCAGCAGGAGGTGCAGCGCTCACGTGGTCTCCGGCATGAGTGCTGGGTCTTGCGGGCATGGCGGGTCGTTCGGGCACCGGCGGCTCCTTGAACTTTGACGGCGATCTAGATGTTGGTAGCCAAGATTTACGTCGCTCCATCAATGAAGCCCTCCTCCCCCTCTTCTGCAGCTTCTCGGCATCTTTGTCCTTTTCCTTTTGCTTTCCATCTCTCGTATTCTCCTTGTCCTCCTCTTTTGGAGGTTTTAACAACATGGCCGGGTCTGGACGTGCCGCGGCGGCTGCGGCTGCGGCTACGGCTGCGGCTGCGGCCGCCTGCTCTTTAGCAGCAGCTTCCTTGGACTTGCCGTCGAGGTAGAGGGTGGTGTTGAATTCGGGAAGGGTGTCGAAGGAGGGAAGCTCGAATGCAGCTCGTCCCTGGACGCTCGAGCCTTTCTGCTGTTTGGGTGACGTTGCTGATGATGTTGTTGTTGTAGACGCTGCCGAGGCGCTGTTACGGTCGTCGGAGGTATGGGATCGGTGTAGGTAAGAACCATTTACTGGTTGGACAACAGCCGGAGCCATCGTCAGCGTTGGGCCTTTCATCTCATGGCAAGTCGCACCAACACAATTAGAGAGGATTCCTCTGCCAGTACACACAGGTAGGTACAGAGCAAGCAGCTGCAGGTGTCGGTGCCCGTGCCGGGCTCTGGTGGGCTGTTATTTGCGATCGCGCGGGCAACAGTGACCTAGAGCATGCAGTTGCGACTAGGAATGTATTGTACGGAAGGTCGATTTGGGTTGGGTAAGGGAGGACGGCCGGAATGCTCGGTGTGTCACGGTGGCACGACGTCTGCAGTCTCCCAAGTTAAGGTATGTAGTAAGGCGGCCTTGTGAGATAAGGTGTGGTGAGGTCAAGTTAAGGAATTCCCCCTCAATTGGACATGACAAAAAACCTGGGGTGTGTACAGGCAAGGAAAGGTGTTTCTTTGGTTTTGGGTTTGTCGGCGATCGGTACGGTAAGGTAAGGAAGGTATGCTCTGGGCCGGCAGAGGGAGGGCAAAAAGATACAAGGCGGCAAGTGGACGGGGGGGATGGATGGTTCGTTCGTTGAGGTGGGTGATGCAGGGTGTGGATAATGGGATATGAAAAGTATCCGTTCGGGGTCCGTAGGAATAACCCGTTCAGGTTCGAGAGACAAGAAGGAACAATCGAGGCGGAGCCGTAAAACGAGCGAAAAAGGAACGAACGACTGGTGGTGAGGCGAGGCGACCAGCTGCTTCTCTTGCGTCCCTTCTCAGGTATAAACCTTGATTTGGGTCTGTCTGGGTCTGGGTCTGGGTCTGGGTCTTGTTGTTCGGTGGTGGTTGTGGTGGTGGTGGTGCGGGTTTCCTGGTTCGTTGCAAGGTCCAATCCAGCGGCAGCTTCGTCGGGGATCGACTGTCGACGCAAGGACTAAAATAAAAATAAAAATAAAAATAAAAATAAAAGAGGAGGCTGCTATGTAGTGTCTGAGCAGGAGACTGGGAAATCCGAAAGCTGGTGCAGCCGCAGCGGGAGGTGACGGTCGGGGGTGAAGGGTTCCCTGTCCAAGACTGGAGCTGGGACGTTTCAAAGTGAGAGGGCGATGAATAGCGGAGCTGGGAATATTATGACGGGCCTCCACCTTTATTTTTGCCAGGGAGCGGGCGCGCTGGTGTGATGCGACAAGAGGGAAGGGGAAGACGATAGATGGCTAAGATGATGCAAATTAAACGCCTTTTCGGTCGCCGGGCGAGACAAGGAAGCTTGTTGGAGCCTTGGGGGGGACTCGGGGGAGGAGAGAGAATTGTGCAAGAGGGTCTTGGACTCGATGGTTCGACCGATATCCAATGTCTCAAGAGGCTGATACGGAGTAGAAAACGAGAGAAAAGCTGACAGGCAGCCTAGTAGATAGAGTAGCAGTAGTACCTAGGTACGGATAGCGAGTGTGGGATTGGTAAGAGTCGTTCGTTTGCCTAAACGAAAGGGATGACGAAGATGTCAGAAAGATCTTGTGAAGGAGCGAGAGAGAAGAATGGCAGGGACGGATCGAACAATCGGGAGACGGGAACACGACGGACGGGGGAGGTACGGGGGGTACGGTACGAAGTACGGGGGGGTTCAGCGGCCACGGACGGAGGAGATGCAGCAAGTAGGTACCTTAGCAAGTAGGAGGTAGCAGTAATAATAGAAACCAGGAGCGCACATAATACGTCAGTGGGAACCAGGTATTAGCAACTGGAGTAGTAATATTACTCCTACTATGCCACATAGTCGCTGCAAGTGCCATGTACTGTACCTCGTGTTGGCATTGGCCTTTCTTCGATAAGTCTCTTAGGTACTCTTGTTCTCATTACTCCGTACCTAGTCCTATTTGTACCTTGGATCATGATCAAGTCGCCTTTCTCTTATTCAATCAGAAGAACAAGAAGGAGACGACGGAGAATATCCCGCCAAGCCACCAGATTCTAACACAAGTACGGAGTACGGGCGGCCAATGTCAGATTCAATTTCATTCAATCCGTCAGATTGGTCCGCCTCATGTACAAGACTTCAAGAATTGAGACGGTCAGCTTTCCCGCCGCGGCGCCGCTCTCCCTAACGCACACACAGACGCCGCACCCTGCCTAAAGCAGCACGGCAGCACGGCAGCACGGTAAAAAATAATAATTCAGCAGGAATAAACGTTCGCCTCCCGTCCGGTCTGAAGTGGAAGAATTAAAAAAGGACTAATGCAGTTCCCTTTTTTCCCTTCCCGCTCAAAAGTGTTTGAACGCGCGTGAGATGTGCGGCCGTGCAACACTTGTCGCCAAAATCAAAAGTACTACAAAAAAAAAAAAAAAAAAAAAGTAAAGGTGTCCATCATGTACAAAGTACTTGTACATTGCCAACAAACCCAACCTCCTCCCTTCCCGTATCTCTACGGTACGGATAACGAGATGGATCGAAGCTAAACGGGGGGATTGGATCATGGCCCATCATCCATGGATGGAGTTTGACGGGGTGGATGATCGCCGCAACGCCAGCGCCAGCGGGGATTAATACGAACGAGGGTACCCGCCTTTTCCCTCCCCTTTCTGCCAGTGCCGTCCCAGGAAACAGAGACAAGAAAGAGCAAGAAAACCTGCCTTGGCCCCGCGGCACCTCTGCTGACCGAGAGAGATGCCTGCAAGGAGCGCGGGCGGGGGAGAAGCTGGCACGGCTGGCAAGCTGTTCGTTCGTTGTGTGCCTACGATCAGTGTTCCCGTACTCGTACCAAACTCGTACTCAAACGCCCTTCCATTGTTCCGACTTCTTTTCTCGTGGGTTTCTCCACCAGCACATGTGTCCAGCTGTTCATACGAACCGCTAGTCATTGTGCACCTCCTACCTAGACCCCAAGTACCCGTAGGGAACGCGCTCTTACTCTCTCTCAAACGTCCCCCCCTCTCGCGACGAACTCGAGGGACCGACCTGACCTGAGTCTGAGACCAGTGCGCGCTCACTCCTCCCACTACACCACGTCGGTCCTCTTTGTAGTTTTGGGGGGAGAGGGGGATCTACCCGCGGGACGGATGGCTTGTCTTTCGAGCTTGTTCTACCTTTCCACCTCCTTCAGAGAAAAGCCCCTGGCTAAGACTAAAGCGTTCACGCTTCGGCGGCCGGTCCATCGGCTCTCACTCAGCGGTGTCTCACCGACCGAGAGAGGGGATTCGTCCAGCGTTTTCTTCCGTTTTTCCTTTCCCCCCCTTCCCCCTTCTGCTAGCGTTCGCGAGGGCGGTACGGCGTTTTAGTGTACAAAGGCGCAAAGCTAGCAGCTGCTGTCCAACTCTCAACATTTGACATTGGGGAGAGAGTAAAAAAAGAAAGCCCCTGAGTTAGTAATCCGTTCGGGACGCACAGAACATTCTGAACGAACACGTCGAACGGACGGGTGATGCGAGTCGTGCGTTCCGCATGATAGCTGACACCTGCAAACGCTCGACCATCAGTCAAACCTCCCCCGTCTGTCTCTCTCTTCTTAAGTCTCTCCTAGGCCGCCAAGTTCCAACAACAGAATAAAAGTGTTCGGGCGATTTTCATCTGGCCTAGTCCTGGGCCCTCCTGGCTCGGCGCAACAACAAGGCGAGGGAGGCCCCAACACCTGAGGGAGATCAAACGAGTCGAACCGTTGCTTGACCCGCTTCGCTTCATCGGTACTCGGCAGGGTACCGTGGACACTGTGGACAGAACGCCGCAAGTATCACGACTCGCAACTCTTCGGGTATGTTGTATGGCGTGGGGGCTCTCTCGCTCTCTCTCTCTCTCTCTCCTGTAATTCGGCCGACATTGAAGCGCTGCAGCCTGCAGATGCAGCACCTGCAGCCAGATAGAAGGGCCCTGCAGGCTTGCAGACAGGAAAAAGATAATGGGCGGCAGTTTTTCCAACTTTCCAAAGCCAACTCTGTCCACGGGCAGGCAATTGGCAAGAGAGTGAGTGAGTGAGAGTCGCCTGACAAGATGTCCGATCCCGGGTTTGATCTTGTTCCCGCGCCTCCGGGGGGGCCAATTTACACCTTTGTGCATTCCAACTAGTGAAAAAGGCGCCTCGAGCATCGAGGGCAACGGCGGTAATGAAATTGTACGCCCCGTTCGACTCTCGAGTTCCGCTTCAGGCGTTTGCCAACGCGCCACATTATTCCCATCTTGGGAGTCGTCAACTACCTAGGTATTTGGTGGCCCATAGTCGGGCGGCGCGTCACCGGTGGCCGGTACGCAAGGGCCAGCACTTCCCATTGTCTTTTTTGTTCCTTTTCAGCTGAGCAGGGCCGTCGCCGTTGGAATTCGCGGGAGGATATCCCGTACCAAAAGACAAAAACTTTGTTCTCCCTCCGCATATGAATGACAAGCCGAGAAGAATGAAAGTGTCTCGGCTCATGATGCTGAAAATCATGTCTCGTGGCCATCGTCATAAGCCGGTGGCTTGCGTGCCTGCTTGCTTTCGCCAGCATGCATGCATCGATCTGAGTTCGTTGTGCTGGCAGGGCATCATCCAATGTGGTTCCGCTTGTCAGCTGTCAAGTATCGCACATCGCAATTACTGACTTTTGCTCGAATTGCCATGCCTCGTTGCTTCTCCCCCCTCCCCCTAACCGGGAGTGGGAACGTTAGCTCGCCAATAACCTTCCCACCTGTATCCCAACGCGGCTTATGCCATCATCGTCCAGGGAAGGGGGACTCGTGGGCCTTGCCCTGCCAGCTTTCAGGGCTGCCAGGAGGGGTCCGTCTTGTTCTCCGAATCCTCCGATCTTCCTTGGGCGCGTCCTTCGAGGCAGGGTCCTAGGTATTAGGTAGTGTTCTCCAAGAATAAAGGCGCCTGCCCAGTCTGCCCCATCAATCACTGTTTGGGTTCCACTGGAAATATAGTCGATTTCATGACTAGGTATCCGTACCCCGTAGATGGCAAGATGAGAGCCCGACTTGGGGGAGGGAAAAAAAAAAAAAAAAAAAAAAGGAAGTTGGACGAACGCAAGAAGAAGAAAGGTGCGGCGACTCGACGAGATTAAACAGCGTCCGTGAGCGAGGCTCGTGGACCCGGATGGCGCTACTTTTGCAGGCAGTCATCCTCAAGGCTCAAGCTGAGCTCCGCCTCGGAGTAGGAAGTTAGGAACTTGGAAGGAACTTGCCCTTAGCCTTGCGGCCAAGGCCCAAGGAGCCGTATCTCTGGATCTGTCATCAGCTTCAATCTTAAGAGCCAAGCGAATTAGGCATAGCGTTCCCCTGAGTGACTGTCCCCACCGGCAGACACGCTCACCCATCAGATCATGGCCACCAAGGACATGTAAGCTGAAATCTCTGCCCTCGCGACTGGTTGTAGACTCGCAGCGCAAGGTGGGCGATACGCGGGCGGGCGTTAGCACAATTCCCTTGCTCGCTCCTCGCATCGCCTCGACCTGATGTTGGCGGTGAGCCGGGCAGTCCGGGCAGCAGAAATAGGGCCGGGCAGATTGAGATGGAGTCCACATTCGGCTTCATTTGAGGCTCGTCCGAATGAATTCGAGACATTTCCACTGGTAACTTGGCAATAGGCCGGCCATTGGAGACGACGCGCCCGATTGTGATACCGATTGTGGTATCTCGGGCGCGCAGAGTCCACAGTTCAGGCGAATTACATATTCAGTCATCATCATCATAAATCAGGCGAGATGTTGCCATTACTTCATGCAGCCAGAGCTATCGTGTAAAGAGCGACGTAGGTGCTTGGTAATAGAAGGGCAGAATTTGATCTTGGCACGATGAAAATTTCCTTCAGCAAGAATGGCACAGAGAGAAGCCCATTGCTGTACACACTAATGCCTGTGTCCAAAAAGGACGGGTATCACGAAGCTGGCGAGATGGATTCGTAGGTTTGTCGCGTTCTGCGAGACGTTTGCGAGACGTTTGCGATGTCCGAAGATTGACACGTTGTATCCGTAGACGCCTCGCACTTGCGAAGCGCCGAATGTGCACGCGCGTCTGAAATGCGACCCAAGGCTGCGCTCCTCGTGGGGAAGATCAATCCGAAACGACACCAATGCGGCATGGGGGCGCGACAAATGATGGTGGGATGCTTGGTCTGATGGTTCCCGAGGTTTCGAGACGGTAGAAACGCCCATAGTTGCGGGAAAGGATGCAGCAACGCGCCGCAAGAGGAGATCGAGGATGTCCATCATCATTTGGGGATGGAAAACGCTCTTCATCTCATTGAGGTTGGCGCTGTGCTGATATGAGAATGACGACGTCGCGGATGATGAAATCGTGTCCCACAGTCCGCGTCACATTGTCGAACCCGATACTCAGTGCAAACAATGCAGAGGGTTTGAGGTGGTTTGCTGTAGCAACACCGGTTTGGAGGTCGGAGGACGGGTGATGTGGTTGTGAGTGAAAGACAAAAGGTCGACGGGGTTGGAAGCCTGCAGAGAAATTTATCATGAGGATCGAGGCAGGTGGGCACGGGATGGAGGGCACAGCAAGCTCGGGAGGTTTCTCGGCCCGACACCCAAAGCTGCCCCGCCTTAAATCCATCGGACGCGTTCCAACCTGGAAGTCGCGACGTTGGCCAGTGCACCTGCCTCCTGTCGGAGCTGGGATGTCCCAAGCCTTCGTAGGCTCCGTCGCCGTGTCCGATTGAGGAATGCATGAGAAAATCTGCGGGGGAAATTAGTTTGTTGACGATCGCGGGAAGACATGATTTAGTGAGTTAGCTGAGATCATAAGATAATCAGTCAGTCGCTCTCGGCGGTAGCGGTAGTAACTTGGATCAACATGACTAAGTAGCTACCTCATGTACCAACTTCCGGCCTGAGTTTAACAGCGTGACAGCCTCGCAAGCACAGCCTCCACAGCGATGCTCGATATGTAGACTGTGCGATCATGTAACTTCCCTTTTGCGGGCAGTTGCAAGTATACGATCCTGTCAAGTGCGCGTGGAACTCCCATTACTTCTCGTCTTATAGTCATTCACACGGTTTACGGTCCCAAGGATATCCCCTCCGATGCTTACTAGGTACTTGAAGGGGGAAGAACTGAGGCGCAGTATCTTTCCTTTCGATATTTTGCAAGTTATAAAGGAACTCCTTGCGAGCGAGCTGTTTATATGCCCAAGTTAAGGGGTCCAGTGGTTTCAAATAGACGGCGAACTATAGCCTAGAGAGCTTCAGCATTTTGTCAACTAATAGACATAACGCATAACCGAGGCTGGGGCTGAATAATCCGGCCCGTGTGCATGCCAAAGTCAATCAGATGAGATCTTACAGCTCAGAGAACAACAGAAAGCTGACTTTGAACAAGTTAACATGCTAGATCACCAATTTGGACACCATAAACTCTTTTGCTTTCTATCTCTCATATCCAAAGAGTCGTCCCAGATCACTGACAGTCAGGGATACATAACCGCTCACTCCGCTAGTCGCAAAGTTCAACTCCCCATGATCTCTTCTGGCTGGTACCAGAAGAGTTATCTGGATCTGCATCCAAAGCGATAATAGCTAATCATGAAGTAACTCTTCTGTAACGAGCGCAAGCAGGTAAGTGATATGTGAAATGCGTTTCCCGAAGCTCTGCCTGATTGCTGCTTGTGCCAACTGTTGTCGTCTTTTACGTTCGAAGGGATTCGGCACCGAAAGACATCGGAACTAACCAAGTCTTGGACTGGAATAGTTGCGCGTCCGGCTTCAGACCAAAAACTTAGACGGCGCAGTGATTGGGTGAAACCTTTTGGCCGCGAGCTGAACGGCAGCGCGAAGTCTCTTCAAGCGGGAAAATCAGTCGGTGCGGTGTCTTCTTCATTGAAATGTCACCCCTCTGTTCTGATTGGTCGGGATTTAGAGACTCACCTTGGGGAGGAAAACCCCCAGACTGAGGTGCCCGCCCACCCCCATTAGCTCTTTTAGATGAAGACTTGATGAATTTGAACTTGAGTACCTCAAGAATTAACAAGCTTCACCACTATTTCTTTTGCTTTAATTATTAATCTTTGGCTCATCTTCACACTAATTGTAGTGTCTACTCCCTGCCCTGATAATATGCGGGATTCTAGAGTGAAAACAGACGGAGACCAGGTTGAGAAACCGAGTGATAACGGTGTAAATCGAGACATCGAGCAGCAGCAATCTGAGGGAGTTGAAGATGCACAAAACCCTTCGATATTCAAGTCTCTCGGAATTCTACATCGATTCCTAGCCGTCTGGATCTTTCTCGCCATGTTGATTGGCATTCTGCTCGGAAACTTCGTCCCCAACGCTGGGCCAGCGCTTCAACAGGGCAAGTTTGCTGGCGTCTCTGTGCCGATAGGTAAGTCTTGGCTCAGCCAGCTCTTTGATACGCGATGCTCATAGACTCTAGCCGTTGGTCTATTGGTGATGATGTACCCCATCTTGTGCAAGGTTCAGTACGAGAAACTACATACCATCTTCCGTACAAGAGAGGTTTGGATCCAGCTCGGCTTTAGCATCATCCTCAACTGGATCGTTGCACCGCTCTTCATGGTCAGTGTTGCGTCCTCTCAAGGCCGTTTTCCAACATCTGCTAACATTATTCCTTAGCTTGCCTTATCATGGGCTTTCCTACCGGACAAGCAGGGTCTTAGAAACGGGTTGATTCTTGTTGGAGTCGCGAGGTGTATCGCCATGGTATTGATTTGGACAAGCCTGGTAAGAACCCCGTTTCGACACTTACAAACCCAAAAGATGCTGATTTCATTGAACGTAGGCCCGAGGAGATGGAAATTATTGCGCGATTCTCGTGGCAGTCAATTCTTTCCTGCAAATCGTTCTCTTCGCCCCTGTCGCCCTGCTCTTCATCCGAGTAATCGGCCAAGACCACAGTATCTCGTCCATCTCGTACTCGACAGTTGCCTCAGCAGTTGGCATCTTTCTCGGCATTCCCCTTGGCGCGGCCATTCTGACGCGGCTGTCATTGGTCTACACCATCGGGGTCGACACGTACAACAACAAAATCATACCGTTCCTGGCACCCTGGTCGCTCATCGGTCTCTTGTATACCATCATCGTCCTCTTCGCCTCTCAGGGTTCCCAAGTCGTTCACCAAATCGTCTCAGTGGTTCGGGTGGCGGCGCCGTTAGTAGTCTACTTCTCCGTCATCTTCTCGGCGACCCTGCTCGTCGCCCGCAGACTGGGATTCCGCTACGGTCTCGCATGTACGCAGGCCTTCACGGCGGCCAGCAACAACTTTGAGCTGGCTATCGCGATAGCTGTCGCGGCTTACGGGCCTGAATCGGATGAGGCGCTTGCCACGACTGTCGGGCCGCTCATCGAGGTGCCGGTGCTCCTTGGACTGGTCTACTTCGTCAAGTGGTTTGCTAAGCGGTACAACTGGGAGGATTAAGCCGGAGCCTTCGCGAACGGCGCAATGAGACAAAAGCACATGTCGATGTCATGGGGTCCAAGAGCATGCAGGAGCTAAGATAGCACGAAAGTTTACGGGTGATGCCGTGCCGAAGGAGCTGAACGGCCGATGCTCAATCTTTGAGGGGAAACAAGTGCCAATCATGATGGCATAAAGAATCTGAAAGCAATGAGATACGATCACTCTAGCAACTCGATTCTGTTCTCGAGAGGTTTCGAAAATGCCAGGTCCATGGTGTTGCAAGACATGCACCGAAGTTCAAGAGCGTTGAATGATAAGCCCGGTAAGACGCGGGGACCCTAGTGACTGAACCCTTGTCGGCCTTAGCGCACGTTGCGCTACAACTGCCTGAAGTGACACTTGGGTGCCCCAAGCTCCCTGTCACTGTCCGGCTCTTGTTCCACCTCAGACAGGATCCGTCCGGGTTCCGACCGCTAATTTGATTATCAACATTCATCTTGATAACCTACAACCTCCCGATCCAACCCTCATCAACAACCTCTTCACGACCGATTCGAGCGATCCACCTCCGCAGTAGGACTTGGGCAGGCCGCGAACCCCCGTATTGTCTTCGTCGTCGTCGAGTTTCCGGCAGAGCCAGTATAGCTGCGCTCCGTATCGCGCATTGGACCCTTACGAGATCCCTACGACTTAATTTCCTCGCCTTGCCGGAGCTTCCCCCCCTCTACGATCCCGCCATGGAGTCGCTTCCCCGCGAGCTGATAGATGCGATCCTCCGGCAATGCGTCGCCTTGACATCCCGAAATCACATCCTGCACCTGCGTCTCGTATGCAGGGCCTTCGACCGCTTTCTCAAGCCCTACGCGTTGCGGACCATCGCCCTCGAGTTCAGCCGTCTCAGCAAGAACAGCCCCCGGCGGCAGCCGGATGTCGATTCCCTTCAGACAATTGGGTATCACTGCAAGTCAATGTACATTGACTTGATGGTATTGCGCGATGAGTGTAAGTTGGAAAGCGCTAAGAAGATCGCGAAATGTTGCTGACCCTCCAATAGTGGAAGTAGAATTTCTATCAACCATCTTCGATCGAATACCCTCTATGAAGCAGTTCGTTCAGACACTCCAACGCCAGTACTGCATGTCGCCTGCTTCCTTCACAACGCTGGACTACCGCCATACCCTCGAATCAATACTCTTTAACTGCCAGTTCGTTTCCTCGTTGCGCCTGAACCTGCCCTTTCAGCTCGTCGGCCATCGCTGCAATGCTGCAACAATGATCCTCGCGAATACCTTCTCCGCCTTCTCCCGTCGCCCGGAGGACTCTCTTTCACTCAAAACGCTTGTGCTAGAGAACGTGTCTGACCAAGCCATCGTCGACCTCTGGACCAACCCTTCTGATGTCCTTGCCATCATGCGCGCCATCCTTCAACTCGAGCACCTATTCATATCTTTCCGTCGTCACGAGGTCGACCCTCCACGTGTGGCCTTTTACGGGACTTGCCTGTGGGATCTTATCCACAACGCCGAAGTTCTACAGACCCTCTGTCTATCTGGCACCGACGACGACCGCCCACCTAGAGGCCTCAAGCAAACAAAAGCCTGGAACATGACTATAGACGAGTGGAGGGCCCGCGCGCTTCCCTCTCCACCGATCACGCTTCCATGCCTGACGGCCCTCGAATTGAAGCGCGTCGAGATCACGCCGGACGTCCTTCGATGCGCCGCGCGCAATTTCGGCCAGACCCTACGGGAGCTGTATCTCAATGAGGTCTACTTGAAAGCGGAACAGGGTCATAACCTCAACGAAGACTCAAAGGAAATCCTATGGATTGGTCTCCCGAACCAGCGGCCCGGCCTCCACGATGACTGGATGGCCATGATCATCCGAGAGTCGTGCCCGAAGCTCCAGACGTGCCGTGCTTCTTTCCTCGGCTACGACCTCTATACCCGCGACGATCTACCGCCGTCACCCGCGCCCTCGTCCCCCGATTTCGACTTCATCGACCCCTGCGGACTCGGCCGCTCCATCGCGCAGCGCTTTGTCGAAGTAGCACTGGGCTACTACCAGCCGCCGCAGTCCGATGGCTCACCCGTGTCCTACCTGCCGGCTCTAGCTTCAAATGACTACCTCCTGACTCAGATGCGGCCTAGAACGCGCGCGCTGCGGGTCACAGAGTATGACGTTAATGCCTACCAGACGGCGGTACAGAACTCCACGAGCGGTTGGCAACGCAGTATCGACGGCGTCTTCCCCAACTGCAACAGCGGCACTCTCGAAGAACTTCACTACATTGCCGAGACCGCGTGTCAGGGCATGAATGAGATTCAGCGACAGCGCAATGAGCATGCCGGCCAAGGGCAAGGGGGCGAAGGCGGAGCTGGGGATGGCGAGAACGGTGGCGGCGGCGGCGGCGGCGGTGGAAACCTTGCAGAGAATCTTTTGAATCTGAACTTTGCAGAGGAGTGATGGGGTTTCCCGAGACGCTGGGGATGAGAGGCTATTGAGTAGCATTGTACGACTTTGTCAACATCACACGGAATTTTGGGGAGGTCAAGCGTTTGAACGCTACGAGATTTTGCTTCCTAGTCATAGCGATGGCAAGCTAATCAACGGTAGAGTATGCTACCATTTTTTCTTCGTTATACCCCCAATCCTGTTCTAGAATTTTCAATTGCTTTACTATGCCTAATGCTCCCTTTTAAGAAACCGTCTTTATATATGATGATGTTGATCATGACGTTAGCGGTAGTCGACGGAAACGTCATGTTCCGTCTCTAGGTAGCTCGTAAATAATTCCCAAATCGAATGCAGCCACCCCACTCCCAAGATAACAGGCAAAAACTGAATTCTACGCTTCTGTTATAGATTCGTAGAACAAAGTTTTGATCCAAAAAAAATGTCATGAAATTGCGCCTCTCGTCTCTCTCTCTCTCTCTCTCTGTAGTCTAGTGACCGTTGACGCCGTTGGTGCCGTTCTTCTGCTCCGCAACGGCCTTGTCGAGGGCCTGCAGCACATCACGGCGCAGGTCCTCGGCGTCCTCGACACCGCAGCTGATGCGGACGAGGTCGTCAAAGACGCCGACGGCCTCGCGCTGGTCCTTGGGGATGCCGGCGTGGGTCATGCTGCTGGGGACCTCGACGAGGGACTCGACGCCGCCGAGGGACTCGGCGAGGGTGAAGATGCGGGTGAGCTGGCAGAAGCGCTCTGCGGCGGCGTGGCCGCCCTTGATGCGGAAGGAGAGCATGCCGCCGCCCATGCCGTTGCGGTGCTGTTTCTTCGCGATGGCGCGGTGCGGGTGGGAGTCGAGGCCGGGGTAGTTTACGGCAATGACGTTGGGGGAGGCCTCGAGGGCTGTGGCGACGGCGGTGGCGTTTGTGGAGGCCTCGCGGGCGCGGAGGTGTAGGGTCTTGAGGCCGCGGTGGGCGAGCCAGCAGTCAAAGGCGGAGGGGACGGCGCCGATTGCGTTTTGGAGGAAGCCGAGGCGTTGTTTGAGGTCCGGGGAGTTGAAGGCGGCGACGCCCATGACGACGTCGGAGTGGCCGTTGATGTACTTTGTAACGGAGTGGACGACGATGTCGGCGCCGAGGTCGAGGGGGTTCTGGACGTAGGGGGAGAGGAAAGTGTTGTCGACGACGACCATGATGCCGTGCTGGTGGGCCTGGGTGACGACGGCGCGGACGTCGACGAGGCGGAGGGTCGGGTTGGAGGGGCTCTCGATCCAGACGAGCTTGGTGGCCGGGGTGATGTGGGCCGAGATGTCGACCTCGATCTCGGGGGTGAAGGTGACTTTTACGCCGTGGGCCTTGGCGACCTGGGTGAAGTAGCGGTGGGTGCCGCCGTAGACGTCCGAGACGGAGATGACGTGGGAGCCGGCGGCGAGGGACTGGAGGACGACGGCGGTGGTGGCGGAGCCGGAGGAGAAGGCGAGGGCGTATTTGGCGTGCTCGAGGGCGGCGACGGCCTGCTCAAAGTTGTCGCGGTTGGGGTTGCTGGAGCGGGAGTACTCGTAGACGCCGACGGGCTTGCCGACGCTGGTCTGCGCAAAGGTCGTGGAGAGGGAGATTGGCTCGATGACGGCGCCGGTGACGGGGTCGTGGGGGGAGCCGGCGTGGACGGCGAGGGTGCCGAAGTTGTGGACGGGTGAGGGCGCCCGCGGAGGGGTCTCGATGGGATGCTCGGCGACGGGGACGGTCATGATTGCTGATGGAGGGGGGTTGTCGTGATAAGAAGGAGTTTGGCGGGGTAATAGATTGCAACTTTCTTCTTGAGGTGAGAAGAAAGGATAGAAGATGTGAGGGTATCTAGAAGAATGCAGAAAGAAGAAAGGAAGTGAAGAAAAAAAAAGGAGGATCGAGAGGAAGATATCCGGGCTACGTTTCTCGGGGTTTGTGCGAAATAAAGTCGACGGTAACCGAGTCGAGTCGCGGGGTCGTTTTTTTCTTGTCGTTTGTTACGTTATGGGGGGAAAAAAAAAAAAAAGTTTAAAAAAAAAAAAGTTGCTCGAGTCTCCGTAGGATGTTTAAGGTGGAAATTGCCCCGCTACGCTCCGGCGGCCGAAGAAAAAAAAAGACGACGGTGCTTTGTGTCGGAGATGCCCCAAGCTCCGAATAGGAATCAATCACGGAATCGCGCGCCTGCTGACCAAGACGGATTGGTTTTGGTGAGTCAATGGGCTGATTTTGGTGGTTGGGGGTTGGTAGCTGTAGGTCTAGACAGGCGAGAGGACGTTTTCGGTGGTTGTTGTTCTTATTATCGTCAACCTCTTGTCTTGAATGCTTTCCCACTTGTCTTGGAGGGGCAAGTTTGAATACGTTCTTCTTTTGGCGGAGACAGGCGGTCTGCGACAAGGAAGACGATCTGTCCAATTGTTCAGTCACACGGGTTGCAACTTTGTATGGATGTTGAGGATGGCGCAATCCGGAGCTATGCAAGGCACTGAGCTCTTGTAGGCAGGTGATGAGGTGCTCGAGGGATTCCCCAGGGGGTAAGACTAAAACTGCGACGGTTCGATCGGGTTGATCGGGAAGGTCGAAGAGACGTGTGGAGGGGAGCTACGCAGTAGTGTGAGGTAGAGCTCAGAAGGGCAGAAGGTCATATGAAATCACATTTTATATCTCGGCCCCCCCTGGATGACGCCTTCGATTTGAAAGATTTCAAAAGATTCCTCAAGCACACACCGCCTCGTGTGCCACAGCTGACGCGATTACAAAGGGCGCGCACAGCTGAGAATGGAGCTGGAGCTGGAGC